TTTTAAAAAATAAATAAAAATCTGAAATGTTTCAGATTTTAAATTACATCCAAACGGGCGTTTTTTTTAACATTTTGTGTGTTACATTTATTAATTAAATATCACGTTCTTTGCACTTAAACCATAAAATTCAGTTCAACAGCAATATCGCAAAACAGTTTTAAATTAAGCATATCTAGAATTTCCGATACAGAGACTCACGCGCTGGAGCTAAAAATGTCTTTTCTGTACAATGCTGCCATTGGCCGCTTTAAAATCCTTGAGTTTGTTTATCAGAAATTCGTTAAAGTTTTACAAAATAGAAAATCGATAATAAAACAAATTCCAGATTTCAAATTTGGTCTTCCACATGCCAGAGCTTAAATTGCGCCGGAGCCCACCGGAGTCTGGCTCCGGTACTTCTCAGTTCTCGAGATAAATTATAATTTCTGCCGGAGCGCACCAGAGCTTTCTTTAGGATTTGAAAATTTCCAGAATATTTACACACATGATAAACAAAATACAATACACAAATAATACATAATAATTATTATATTTAAATTAATTTTTCACCATCAAAAGCACTATTTACAAAAAATTTTAATTGTTATTTACAGACATTCTTCTATTTACAGATGAATTTACATGCAATAAAAATAAAGCCCAGAATGAAAATGGTAGAACAGTTCAATAAATTAAATTCAGTATAATGCCATTCTTCCTCTTCGATTTACGTCTTCAATGCGATGAGGCATTGATGAGACTAAGGAGTAATATAATCTTTGATCAGAGTGCATGAGTTGCCAAGATGACATTATGGCATCCCATAGCTCGTCTGCATTTGGTATGCCTCTGTAATTGATAGTCATTTTCAAACGAGACCAAACGTTCTCAATGGGGTTCAGATCTGCTCCTTTACTTGGCCATGGCATAAGGCAGAAAGTTTGCTGATACACCCAATTCTTTGAAGAGGCTTGAACGATGAATTGGGGATTTATCATGTTGAAAACAAAATAGCCCATCAAAGAAATGATTGTCCAACACTTCTGGCACCATGATATGCTCAAGAACGTCGCGATTGAGAGTTGCATCCGGATTGCCTTGAATTATGTGTAGAGTTCCAAGTCTGCTAGCAGACATGCAACCCCACACAGAAATCAAAAATCGGCCACTTTTCTGACATTCCGAAAAATATAAAGGATTGGAACGCTGACCCGGAGGTCTCCAAACCCTTATATGCCAAAAATAATCAGACTGGATGCAGCTTTCATCGCTGAACAGAACATTACCCTATTCAGAAACTCCCACACTAGAAAACTTATTACAAAAGTTCACTTTCTCCTGAATATGAACACCAGTCAAAGCAGGCTTACGAACTGCAAGCTTGCTGTGGAAATCTTTCTCATGCAGTCTGTTTCTCACTGTTTGAGTGGAAACCTGCAAAGAAACAAACACATTTGTCAAATTCTTAAATTATGTAAAAATATTTCATAAATTTCTTCGCAATTATAATCCAATTTTCTTTTTACTTCCTTCTACGGAGTATAAAATAAATATTATAATCGTAAAAAATTTTCGGAGCACACTTTATTTCAACGAAACAGTTTTTATTTCAATGAAAAATTTCGTAGATTCAGCATTCCAAAAATTTTTGTAGAAGTTGAAATTTTGTATATATAACTGCTGTAACATCTAGTTGTGCATCTCCCTTTCTTATTGCAGTCGGTCAAACGTGTGTATATATGTGGGAGGGGTGATAATAAATTAAAAGCACAGCACATAGCTAAATAATTCTTCCGGGAAGAGAGGCAAAAGCGGAAAGGAATCATACAGGAATGGAATGTCAGAATGTATTTGCAGAAATATAGATGATGGCACAGCAATGGATTCTTGTTTCGACACACATTCATGGAAGAATTGGCAAGAGATCCTATTATTCAAATCCCTTTTTATTTTAGCAGAAGAATCATTTTGTTCAAAATAGTATTGGAGTATAGTACGACATTAAAACAGTAAACGTGTTGAGTATCTTACATGATGTTACAACTTTTGAACAACATTTATAATCATCATGAAAAAATAAAATTATAAGAAGTTTGACTACCGTATGGCAAAAATTTATATTAAGTTTCAAAATTTGCAACTTTTGATGTTACTTTCAATTTGCCTTGACAGATCGGTTAACTAAGTTAGAATAATTCGAGGAAATAAGTTTAAGTGAAGTGCAGCAAAAAATGTGCATAATTTAACAGGCCATGAAAGGAAGTCATGTGATGCCCACATCAGATTTTCTAATGCAGCAGTTTTTAATGTAATAAGGAGAGGTAACTAAAATGAACGATAAATATTTTCAGAAACCGAATGCTGAGAGAAAGAGTTCTGTAATGTGTCAACAAAATAATCACTATCATAGCTAAAACATTATTAATTATTTCTAACTCAGAGTAAATTATTTAAAAGTTTAATTAAAAAGTAATTAATATTCCGGATGAAATAATTGATGGCTATTATATCTTTCAGTTAATGCAAAATTCTATAACACAGTTTGCTTATTATAATTTAATGTATAATTGTATAACTTACTGGTAATCCAAAATCCTCAACTATTTCTTTTGGTTTTACTGTTAGCTTATGCTAAATAGCGTTTACAATACCTTCCACCTCAAACAGGTCCACTTTTCTGGGGCAGCCACTCCCTTTCCATCTGTCAGTGAAGCCTAGGCTCTGATATCTAAATTTAAATATCAAAAAGAAAATGTTTTATTTTTTAGATAACATAACAAATATAAATGAATGATGTTCTAAACATTCTAAGCGAATATAGCACTCAAGATTTGAAGTAAACTTGTAAAAACACTTTTGGGAAGCGCATTAAATTATAATATAAAATTGAGATTTCTTTTTACTTTGAACTTTTTTTTAATACTTAGAAATGGTCTTTTAATTGATAAGAATACTCATTTTACGTTTTAGGTTTAACTGCGTACATAAAGAAAAAAAGCAAAAACTGGCAAATTATGCACTTTCAAATAATAATAATATTAAAGTGTGTGAATAACTACACACATATTAATATTTAAAAAAAGTCGCATCTAGTTTTAAAGTGCGGTTTATAAAGAAATACTACGTTTTATTTCACAAATGAAAGCATAATTTTTTTAGTTTAAAAACTTATGTTTTTAAGTATAACAAGAAAGTTTTGCTGCTTTCCTATAAAGGTTCAAACAGAATATTATCATACGTATTTTAACATTCAAGATAATGCGATAAATTTTTGGAAAAGGCAGAAAAAATTTTTGAAAATTTTAATTCATTTAATTCATTCTATGTAAAATTTTAATTCCTATAAAATGCTTTGCTGTTCTACTAAGCCATATTAAATTTTGGGTCCTTTTGGGTGAACATCAACATTTGAATCTTTTCAGATATTATCGTTATTAGTATTATTTAAGTTTTCTTCTATTTATTAATTTGCTAGTGCTTGCACGAATTATTGTAATTGCTATGCCTGCAATGGATGAGGGAAAGCATAAATATTAAACTTTTATTTTCTGCTTACTAGGCAAGCAAACTTTCATGCATGTGTTGAAACGCATATGTTAAGTTGAAGTAAGCATCTACTATGCTTATTTAAGTAAAGCAAAACAAAAATATGTCAAATCTAGTGCTAAAGAATGTGTAATATATTAATATAAAAATACCTGCTTCACAAATGATGAATTCTGCTTTTAGAAATGCCTAAAAGATTTTCCACACTGGAAATGTCCCAGAACTATTCTAACGTCCTGCTTGCTTAAAGACATTGTGAAAATAAACATCAAACGAAAGTTCTTAGTTTTAAACAATTCAATTTAAAAGAAGTTGCAGACGATAACACGGCGAAAATAAAAATTTACTCTTACAAATATTTTTTTTAAAAAAAGGAAGGAAGAAAAATTTTTTAAAAAAAGTTAAAAATCTGAATAATATGATCTATAATTTAAAAAGAAATAGCTTTTCACATAGTATTAATAAATATTTATTAAGCATCATTGAGAGAAAAAAATTCATACAATTAATTCTCCCTAAAAGTTTATTTGTAATTCTAATGTTAAAAATGGCTGTGGCAATTCACTGTAACAAAATCCATAAACTACATTTGTCATTTTTGTCGCTCAATAAAAAAAGATGCCAAATTTCAAAATGTGCAAATATGTAAATTCATGTATATCTTAGAAAATTTTGAATAAAAAATTCTAATTTTCTGCAGATATGCATAGATATACACCTACTTTAAGATGACAGTAAAAATTTTATAGGTTATAATTCAAATTTTTTTTTTCGAAAAATTTATAAAAATTATTTAAAAAATACAAATTTTAAAAATAAATCATAAAAAATAGGTGAATTTTATTTGGAATGAACCTAAATTTTAAAATGTTAAAGGCAGAATAAAAAAATTAATCAAGAATGATTTATAAGAAATATATTAATAGATATATACCAAATTCAATTAACATTAAAGAGCTAAAATTTTAAAAGCTAATTTTTTTTTAAACTACTCGTACGATTTTTACAAAACTTGGTAGTCTGGCATAATTTGAGTCATAGAAGCGAAGTATGGGGGAAAAAAAAGGCATGACATTTCAGAAAAAAGTCTGATTTTGTGTCAAAATACCTATGTTAGAATGATGCTATATATAAATCTAATATATATCCTAAGTCGCGCTTTCGAGACATGAAAAACGCAATTGAAATTTCATCAATCAGCCCAGTACAACGGGAGACATCAAACTGTCCCCCCCCTTCTTTTTTTTTTTTTTTTTTTTCACAGTGTACGTTTATTTCACCATAATGTGTGTGTTGAATACTGAAAATATACAACTTATATTTGGTGTAAAATCATCGAACATAATGTTTTTCGCACAAATTTAAATGAAATTCCTTTATTGTGCTTGATGAGTTTTTAAATTACATGAGATTTTAATTTAAATTACTTAAATATATTTTATTGTTATCATGTAAAAACGTTTCTTTTTCAGTTATTTCAACTACGCTGCAATTGGATCAATCATAGGACATGAAATCACTCACGGATTTGATAACGAAGGTAATATTTGGAACTCCCATAAATATTTATAAATGCTGTTCATCAAATATAATTATGCATAATATGTGAAATAAACTTCATCATAAACAGGGCAAAAGTAATGTCAGAAATATTTCCAACTAGCTGTTACACGGCATGCCTTGCAATGCTGATACCAAGGTTGATAATGGTTCAGGTGGTGAATCTATTTCTGGCAATTTCACATCCGCGCAGCAGATTCCTGGTGCTTCATTTCTAAACTGAGGCATGTAATACATGCATAATTTATACATCTTTCCAACAGCCACACTTAGATGAAGACTGTAATCATAATTAGCATCGTAATGGAATGCACCACGCCTTAAATCAGCGTGCAGTGTTCTTCTGGATCAAGCAGTGCGTACTCGAAGGTCTTCCGCTCCCCGTTGCTCATCTGTTTTAGACAAGCAGCCTTGAGCAATGCGTACCCAAACGTTTCCCAGTCTTGCCTTCCGTTGCTCACCTGTATCAGACAAACGGACTTGGACAGTGCATACTCGAACATTTCCCAGTCTTGCTTCCCATTGCTCATTGGTTTCATACGAATAGGCGTGAGCAAAATGTACTTAAATGTTTCCTAGTCTTGCTTCTTATTGCTCGTTTGTTTTTGAAGCTTGTGATGCCTTTTTTCTTTCCAGCTTGAGGTATAAATAGAGCAATCAATTTTCGCTGTGGTGGCATAATTGATTTCACAGTGAAAGTAACACCTTGTGACAACTATTAGAAATTCACTGTCAAAAAGCAAAGAAAATGCACATGATGCAATAACATGCATGTTAATGTGTGAAAAATTAAATATTTTACGCTTTGCTGAATGATAACACACTTTAAAATATTTTAATTTGAGCAGTGTCAACACATTTTTCTTAAATAACCAAGTTTCTTTATTAAATTCGAGAAAAATTAATGCAATTCCGTTTTCCTGAATGGCAACACTTTTTTTAAATTGCCAAGTTTACTGATTAAATTTGAAACATATATCTCATACACTTTGCAGAGTGGCAACGCAAAGTTTTTAAATTGCTCAGTTCTTAATCTAGAGTTCATTTAATTTTTGTAAAATATATGTCTATAAAGAATGCGGACTCTGTGGGCTGGTCTTATGTAGACAGTGACCTTCCTCTTCTTTTGAAGGTTGAGTGTGGCAAGTTTCATAAAGATCAGAATTAAACTGTAGATTTGAATAAAAGACAAACGAATAAACATTCATTTTTATATACATAGATAATTTAGTATTATGCAGCATAACTGAAGAAATAAATATCAAAAAGATAGAAAACATGATGACGGGGTATGCATTCTGTGAGCACGCCTTAGTTAGGCTAGTGAGCTTTATCAGTACCGAATATTGTCTATCACTTTCGAGAATGTCAAGGGGAATTTTTCAGATTTCGCGAATTATCAAATTTTACCGCGAACATGAAATAAATCCACATATTTCAACTTTTTCCCCATTATTTTCTATTGTTTGTTATATTTGTTAGATTACTTTTTATATACAAATGTTTTAACTCTGCCTTCATTAGAACTTATCTGGAAAATACCCTTAAAACTAAACTAAAATCTAAACCAGAATTTATTATTCCTTATGATTCTAAATAAGTTTCCAGGTCCTGCCTAATTTTAACAAGATTCTTACCACCACCACCACCCCTTAATTTAAGATGTTAAAGACAGCAGACTCTACAGTAAAGAAGAAAGTCTCTGAATTTGCAGTATTACAATGTATCAACTACCATTGATTTGTTTTCATGTGAGAGCATTGCTAACATTGTAACAATGGGATTGATTTGCAAATATAACTGTAACTTAAAAACATGCAATTTTAATGTTTCTTTTAATTACACATAAACTTATTTCCTTTTTATATTTGACAGACTATCTCTCTTTTTTTATCTTTTATTTTCGTTTTTAATTTAATTTTATTTTTCGAAAACATAAGTCCTTTAAGAAATTATCACAAAATTGTTAGGTGGCAAAATTTTCGAGAAATATCACAATTTTCTACACGAGTTTTGCAGTTTTCTCTCAAGAAGAAAAAAAAACTCCCTAACTCTATATTACTGTTCTTCTTATATATTCCATCTGTTTACAGGATGGCGGCAGCATTTGTGACATCAAAACGAACGCGTTATTTCATCTACGATTTTGAGAAAACCATCGTTTTTTTAAGTATGATAAAATTTACAAGATTTTAGTATAATAAAATTTTATATAGAAATTTTAGATTGTAAAATTTGTCAGTTATTATAAAGTGAAAAGAATAAATTTGGTTAAATCATATTGCTATGCATAAAAGAATAAAATTGCTGAAATCTATCTCATATTATCTCTATTGGGAGCGGGAATTGTTTCATCCAGTTTGATTGAACTGAATGTCATCACAGAAGCATTAATTTCAGCAGTTTCATTTAGCTATTTAACACCAGTGCTCTGTGGTATATTACCATGAGTCACGAGATGAATATGTATTTTGTGAAAATGCCTATTTAGCAGCAATTCGTGTCAAAATTATACCCTCTTAGAATTTACGTTCCATATTCAAGCATCAAAAAGAATTGTTATTGGTAAAACTCAAGCATTTCTATTAGTATTGCTGGAAAAAGAAATGGAACATTTCGGGAAAAAGGAAAAATTATTTGTTGAACTTTGAAGTTTCTAAAAACATGACAATGAATTTCATTTTGATTACAATCAAATAATTACTGGACACGGGCGCTTCCCGGCATACCTGAAAAGATTTAATTTGCAAAATAATAGTCTTTGTAGTTTTTGTAGTGCTGAAGGCAATGCACGACATTTGGTCGAAGACTGCGTATTATTGTGACATGTTAGGGAAAAGCATTGGTAATATAAAGGAGTTTTGTTGCCACAATAAAGAGTTTAGATTTGCAAAGGATTTGAACTTTATAAATGGCAATAGAACAATATTGTGGGAATCTTGTTTTGATGTTTTTAACTGCATTTCTCTTTTAATCTGCATTTTAATCTTTTAACTATATTTTGCTTGTTGTGCCTTTGACTATATTTTGTTTGTCTGTGTCAATAAAATTCTCAAAATAAGAGTAAAAAATATCCTCCGTAGCACCATTATCATCTGACCATATATATTTCCTTCCCACAGACACACTTAAAAATGGTTACTAAGCAAACCTTCATTTACATACTAGTCAAGTAATGCTCTTTTCTCCTTTATTTCCAAATCGTTCAGAAACTTCAAATTAATCTTACCACATTCAGCCATTTTACAGTCTAAACCAGAAAACAAGCAATGTATTTTTTAACCAACACACACAACAAGCCTTACAAATTCACCATAATCATGCAATCGATTATGTCATAATAGGGTTCCCATAACATTAAACTACTCGGGCTACCATAAATCAACCACCACTTGGCGATAAATGAAACAACAACTTCGCGATAATACAAGGGGTATCCTTCTCTCTACTCTAACCGATAAATTTATTGTGCAGGTGGGTTAATCCTGCTGTTGACCAGTAGTTCTGGGGATTCAACAGTTAATGATTTATGGTAATTTGTTATAGCTGCTGGTGTCATACCTAATAATTAAATGTGAAAATTAAAATAGAGTTTTTATAATAGTAATATTAATTTGGTAAAAATATATTTACTGGTGCCCCGGCACATGGATACCGAGTTAGTACAATTCTTTGACTTGTTATTTTGGCTTGTGTTGCGCCGATTTTTGTGTCAAAAACTCCTTATAAATGAATTTCACTCCTAAAAAAGTCAAGGAGTATTTTTACTCTTCCCAAAAAAATCCTAGGAATTACTCTTCCAAAAAATCCTAGGAATAACACTGATCACAACCTAGCAATTCAGCAGCCAGTAGTCCTGTGGTTCCTTCTTAGTAATCATTTTGGCCTTTTTACATCAATTATTAACTTCTGGTAAGCAGTTTCATTCTTCGAAACAAATCAAGAATGTATTTCACACTTTACCGATTTGTCATTTGGAGATGTGCGAAATATGAATCGTTTCATACATTGCTGGCTAGTTTTAGGTATTATATACAATGTCGAGGCATTCTATAGAATGCCAGATTTCAAACTTTGCTGGTAACCTATATACCAAAAATGCATACTGCCAATTTATCTGCCCATTTAATTATGTCATCAGATGTAATACAAAAAGAGCATTTGATCAGAAAACTCTAGACTAATAGCAGGTTATTTGAAGTTGACACATGAAACAAAATTCTGTCTGATAAGCTATTTATATTTTGACCTTATAGAAATAAAAGTGTTTCACACACCCTAACAAAATATGCTAAGAAAACCTATAAACTAAATTTACACCATTTGAATACTGTCAAAAGATCCTGCAGATGCCAAAAGAAATGAAAGGATTAAATACAATAGCATTAAGGTTTCATGCTTAATACTTGGAAATATAACTAGGATAGCAGGATGTTTGTATTCTCAATGTACATTAGTAATTTTTCGATTTAAAGCATAAATTTGTTTGGAAAAATGATTTTTAAATTAGATGTTTAATCATTAGCATCATGTAAGTCTGTCCTGTCTACCAAACCTAACTAAAAACTTGAGAAATGTTCATCTAGTGCAAACCACTATATTAAAAGATAAATTTCTGTATAGGAAAAGATTTTTAAAAAAAATTTAGAAATAACTTACCATTATTAAATTAATTTATAAAAATAACTTGTGTTTCTTCAGATCTGCATAGCCAGTTCCATGCTTTAGCAACTTCAGTTCTACAGCTGTGCTAATGATTTATATGAGAAACAGCATAGAAACCTTCACTAATTAAAGGATCTCTGTAGCAAGTGTATTTGCTGTTTCATTTTATTCGAATGTTTAAAGAAGCAGTACATTTCTTATTGTAACCTTCAGTCTAAATTAAAAAAGAAAGATCATTATTTGAAAACAAGCATTAATTGCAGTAAAATTTTTCACAGAATCTTTATATATAATCAATATAGAATCTTTATACATTTTGGTAAAAATATATTTTAGGGTGCCCCTTGGCGAAATTTTGCGATTGGCCAGCAAGGCAAAATTTCAAGCTGGCAGCTGCACAAAACCAAAATAGCAAATCAAAGAATTGCACAAACTCAGTGTCCATGTACACATTCATCTATTTTCACTTAAAAAAACATCAGAGGATTGCAGAAAACCCAGCATTGTGCACTCCCTTGACGTTCTCCATGCACACATTGATCTATTTTCACTTAAAAAATCCAAGGAGCACACAATTCTACACCAAAGCCAAACAAAATATAT